GAGGGAACACAAGCAGGGGGAATGGGAGAGGGAGAAGCAGGCTTCCCACCGAGCAGGGAGCCCAATGTGGGGCTCGATCCCAGGACCCTGGGACCATGACCTGAGCCAAAGGCAGGCGCCCAACGACTGAGCCACCCAGGCGCCCCTAGCATTATTTTATCATATCTTTTTATGTTGTCCCTACAAAATTTTCCCTTTACTTTATCTAAGCATTGTTGTTCAACAGAAATTTAATGTGAGCCATATATGTAATTTTAAAAGTTCTAGTAGCCACATTAAAAAAAGAAACAGGTGAAATTAATTTTAATAAGTTTTATTTAACCCAAGATTGCCAAATTGTTTGAACATGTGACCAATATAAAAAGATATCTTACGTTCTAATATTCTACTAAGTCTTCAAAATCCAGTGTATATTTTATACGTACATCTCAATGTGAACACAATTTTTATCAGAAACTATTTGATCTGTATTTAAATTTCATAAAATTCACATTTGAAAAAGCAGATTCATATATCCAGGTTGTTCTAAACACACAAGTTCTCTGGTAACTGAATCAAGTAGTTTTAAAATTTATATTTAAATTAGTTTTAAATTATATTTAAATTAGTTAAATTAGATAAAGTGAAAAATTCAGTTTCTTGGTCATACTAGCTACATTTCAAGTGCTCACGAGCTACATGTGACTAGTGGCTATTAAGTCTATACTGATCTTTTAGCTTCTTGTTTATAACTGTACTTTTTATTTCTATTTAGTATTTCATCACTTCAAACAAATCTGAGACTTTTAAACTTTTATCTGTTTCCTTGGTTATGTACATATTCCACTGGTTAATCTGATTTTGTGCCAGTGCCACACTGATCACTGTAGCTTGACAAAGTGTTTACTGTCTGGGAGGGCCAGCCGACTATCTCCCCACCCTCTCCATTTTTTCTTGGTAATTCTTTCTTGATCTTGTTATCCTGTAATTTCGAACAATCTTATTACTGAAGTAACACAAACATGTAAATTTCATTTTTTGTTAGTGAAATCTAGAAATGCAATTGATTTTTTTCCCTAGAAACACTGAATGCTTTTATCAGATTTTCTCTCCCTTCAAGACTGGAGGGATGCAACAGTTACTTCTTGGTGGAGATGTCATCATCATCCAGAAACTAAAGGCTACAGTTTACAGCAGGCAGAAATGGGCCCATCAGGATGTGGCTGAATCTTGACACGAGGCCGTCTGCTCCCCGGCATCACTCAGGAAGGGATTTCTTTCATGGTCGAAAGGGGAGGGCACCTAATGGCTCACTATGGGAAATACAATTAATTAATGTGGTTTTCATGCCACTATCTGCCTTTACCAGTAAGAGCTGCAAAAGATGTATGCCTCCGAAAGACAAAGAATTTTTTAATATTGCCCTTGTGTCTAGCAACTTTGCTGAATTCACCTGTCAATTCTAATATTTTTCCTGCAGATTCTTTTGAATTCCTAGAAATACAATCATATTGTATGATGATTTTCTTCTTTTCCAATTCTTATGTATTTTATTTTTCTTGTCTTAACTGTATTGGCTAGAACCTTTGTCACAATGTTGAATGAAGTGACTGATAGAATCTTTTCTTTTTTTTTCTTTTTAAGTAGGCTCCATGCCCCATGTGGAGCTTCAACTCACCACCTTGAGATCAAGAGTCGCGCGCTCCACTGACAGAGCCAGCCAGGCGCCCCTGACAGAATCTTTGTCTTGTTCCCAAACTCAAAGGGAAAGTTTGTAACATTTTACCATTAAGAATGTGGTTTGCTGTTGGCTTTATATATTGGTCCTTTATCAGATTTAAAGAAGTTTCTTTCTATTCCGAGTTTCTTAGTTGTTTTTTAATGAATGATATCAAATTTCATCAAAGGCTTTTCCTCACCAATTAAGATGATCACATTATTCTCTTATTATGCAATTAATGTTAATTACACAGATTGATTTTCTGATGCTAAATCAACTTTGCAGTTCCTGGAATGAACCCAACTGGGTCATGATCTAGTTGCCTCTTTACATTACTGGTGGATTTTTGCTTCTCCATTCATGAGTGAGACTGGCTTGTAAGTTCCATTCTCATAATATTCTTGTCAGGTTGTGCTAAGTTCATAAAATGAACTTGGATGTATTTCTTTGTTTTTTGTGTTCTAGAAGATCTGGTTACTAATGATATTATCTTTCTTAAAAGGTTATAAGTTACCAATGAAGCCGCCTGGGCCTAGAGTTATCTTTGTGGGAAAATTTTAAGTTATGTATTGTTTTTAAACAGATATAGGGCTATTCAATATTCACATTCCTATTCTTTATCAGTTTCCGTAAGCAGTATATATTCTTTGTTTTTCTAATTGTCCATTCCATCTGTTCCACTTTTAAATTTATTTGCAGAAAGTTGCTCATAAAATATTCTTATGGAGGAAAAAATTGTCTACAGGATTTGGAGTAATGCCTCCTTTTACATTTCTGATATTATTTATACCTTCTCTCTTTTTTCCTTGGTCAGTCTTGCCAGGGTTTATCAATATTATTCTTATTCTTTTCAAAGATCCAACTTTGTGGTTCTTTTAATCCTCTCTACTGTACTTCCTCCCCTATATAATTAATTTTATTCTATTTATATTGCTTCCTTCTACTTTCTTTAGCTTTAATTGGTAGTTCTTTTTTCTGACTTACTGAGAAAGGTGTTATTTTTTTTTTCCTTTTCCAATTTTGCTTGTATAAAGCAGTGATCCTCAACCTTAGCTGCATGTCACAATCACCTGGGGAGCTTTCAAATGCTTGAGTCCCATCCCCAGAGATTCTGATGTGACTGGTCTGGGATGTGGCGTGGGCATCAAAAGCTTTCCAAGTGATTCTACTGTGCAGCTACAGTTGAGAACCACAGATTTAAAGCCACACCCTCTAAGTACAACTTCAACTGTATCCCGTAAGTTTTTAATTTTTCTCGATCATTCAAACTGTTTTAAAATTTCTGCAGTGGGGGCGCCTGGGTGGCTCAGTTGTTAAGCGTCTGCCTTCGGCTCAGGTCATGATCCCAGGGTCCTGGGATCGAGGCCCACATCGGGCTCCCTGCTCTGCGGGAAGCATGCTTCTCCCTCTCCCACTCCCCCTGCTTGTGTTCCCTCTCTTGCTGTGTCTCTCTCTCTGTCAAATGAATAAATAAATAAAATCTTAAAAAAAAATAAAACTTCTGCAGTGATTGTATGTAAATTTTTTAAATGGGCTAATCCAATATATGGTTTTATAAGTCAAGTAAATAGTTACTTTGGGGAAGAAGAGGGTTGTGATTGATGAAACACATGGGAGCTTCTAAAGTGCATGTTCAATTTGTGATAACTCATTGAGCTAGACACTTACTTTATAAGTGGTTCTGTGATTTTATAGAAAACTTTAATATAATTTTTTAAAGAGAGAAATAGATCTCATACACGGAATGGGAATTATAACAGCAACAGCCTTCTCAATATTAATACTAGAAGCTAGAAGAAATAGCATAATGCCTTCTCAATTCTAATGGAAAATGATTTCCAAACTAGAATTCTGTATGCAACCTTTTGATCAAATATGGGAGGGTAAAAATTAAAACATTTTCAGACAGAGAAGGTTACAGAAAAGTTACCTCCCCTGCCTGTTTTCTCAAAAACCTGCTGGAGAATGTGCCCACTTAAAAAGAGGAAATAAACAGGGAGATGAAGACACAAGATCTTATATTTAATATCTTATATTTCAATATAAGAGGAAGGCAAGAGAAATTCCCAAGATGACAGTCATGCAGCCGGCCTCAAAATTAGTGCACCTGGGAGCAGCAGGCTGAAGGGTTCTAGATGCAGACATCTCCAAGGGAAACAAACCAGGAGAGTGCCTGCTTATATTTGACCACAGACAGATTTTTCAGTTCTGTCAGAGTACAGGGAAAATCAGGTAGCCTCTTAGAAAACGAAACAATTAGAAAACCAGAATTAGGGTACGAAAGGAGTAATTACTCCATCCAAAAAATGCGGAAGTACAATCATAGTTCAACTCAGCTGTGAATAGGGGTTTTACAGTTAGAACAACATAAACAGGGAGCACTGATTTAGGCAAGCACTGTGATGTAACTCTATGACACGAGGGGGAAGGAAGGGGATTTTGTCTGTACTCTGGTGTGTGGGGAGCTGTGGATGAGGTTACATGAGATAATAAATCCTCATCTACAGTGGGACATCCAAAGAGAACTGAAAAATCAAGAAATAGTATAAGCACAGAGAAGTGAAAAATAGCTAAAACAATTTAAACTCAGGAGAAGTGAAGGGGGCGCCTGGGTGGCTCAGATGGTTGAGCGTCTGCCTTCGGCTCAGGTCATGATCCCAGGGTCCTGGGATCGAGTCCCGCATCAGGCTTGCTTCTCCCTCTGCCTCTCTCTCTCTGTCTCTCATGAATAAATAAATAAATAATCTTAAAAAAAAAAAAGGAGAAGTGAAGGATGGGAAGGTGTGGGGCAGGATGCTGCTACTTTCTCTTATGAGCCTTGGAGCACGTGTCTTTTTTAATTATGTGTCTACAGTATTTTCATAAAAATAAAATTAAACTTAAAAAAGGTATAAAAAGAAAAGAATCCCAAGAGCCTACCACGTCACTTTTAGCTTTAAAACTCTGGATAATCACCGGAATCATCCCTGGACAAGAGGAAGCATATCTGTAGCACGGATCAGTAATCATTATTAAGTACTGTTTCAACCCCGAATTCTCCCCATATGAAGAGCCGAATTATCTACATTTTAGTACAAAGTACATGAAAAGCTGGAACGTACAAAGCAAATGTTTTCATTTATCAGGTTAGGCTGAATTTACATTATTGCAACTGACGTGTAACTTTTCAGAAAGGTCTATAAAGTTAGTTTGAGCTCTTGTGCCAACACAGGATTACTCAATTATCTTCTATGAGTTGATAATTAATGGGATTAAGTACCCGAATCAAAAGGGAAGGTATGGTTTGTAGAAGTGAAATTACCTGAAGAAAGTCACGAAGAACTGTACCAGGTCCATAAAATTGCTGTGCTGGGAGAAGGCGATCTGTGAGGGAGAAACAGGGAGTGTGAGGAGGGAGGCTACACAGGAGCACCGGCAAACTTGGCCTTCTCAGTTCAAGAGACACACCTGAAATGTTCCAGGAGAGATTAATGAAATTGTTTTTCTTGAGGGAAAGTGGCTCATCCCTTTAGTTTCTTTTCTGGCTTAACCACCAACCCAAAAGTAATATCCTGAGGCTTCAACACAAACTCCTAGAGCACCCACCCCTCTGCTCTTGACATCAGATCTAAGTTCTTTTAGTGTGACCTTGAGGACTTCCCAGATTCCCAATGTGAAAACCCCAATGCCAGGCAAGCCAGTTCACTTGCTACCTCCTTGGGCCTTCCTCTGGACAAAATGCTCTCCCTGTTTGCTTCAAGTTGGAGTTCCTGGATCTGCCTTGAGGCAGGGAGCCTCATCTGTGCCCTTCATCCCTTTGATACTTACGTGCTCAGTGAATACTCACTTCAGGATAGTATCTTTTTTTTTTTTAAACCGTATCTCAAATTTTACTACATTGAGTATCATCTGAGAGTCAGTATGACACCAGTTGGAATCTAAATAATTTTATCATACAGTTAATAGTTTTTATGCCAAGAATATAAAAAATCCCGTATGTAGTTCATCTAAGACACCACTGACTGAAACAGGCATTATTTTGTATACTATCAAGAAAAAACACTGCCAATTATACTATGACAAAATATGTTAAAAATCACTGACCATAAGATGCATCGTGATTTCAGAGATATCAGAACATGAAAAAAATGAGCATGGCAGGATTTATTATTAAGTGTGATAACTGTGTTGTTATTATTATCTATAATACTCATAGTATTAGCCAGATGTTATGGCATATTCCCTGCTTTTTTAAAGGGAACATAGCTCTCCTTGGGGAGACAATGGTACCGTAAGTAAAACAATTATTGAATAAGCTGATGATTGCTTCATACAATAAGTATGACAAAATTCAGAGAAGTAAATGATTGGCCACTTCTTTTTCTAATCTCACCCAACCCCCTATCTTTGTCAGGCAGCAGCTCCCATCCTATGGTAATGCAAGAGAAGTGCTAGACCCAGGCCCGAGCACTGGGACAATTCAATGCTTTGTGTTCTTTTTATGGCCAGACTCAAAGAGGCAGAAGAGGTTTCCAGTGTTTGCCTTTTTTGATGGTCTTATTTTCTTTCTGATGTTCCATAAATAAAGTCCCAATACTACCTATTCAGGCCATAGGACATTATGGGGCACAGAATTTGCCATTCTTGTGTCTCTCCAGTGCCCATTTATAATCAGAAATACAAAGATACATAGACTTTATGCCATAGGTAAGGAGAAACCCACATTCTTTGCTTTTCCTTAATTTTTTATAGTAACCCTAGTCACAAATAAGACTCCTTGAGAATACTACGGCTACCGTCCTTGCGTAAAGATTTTTAATAAGACTGGAGAAGGACGATTATTTAAAGAAGGTTATTCGATCTTGAGGAATGACGATTCCAGGTTACAACACATAAAGAAGGAGAAGGAAACAGATTCTAGTCCATCCAATTCTGTTTGTAGATTTTAATCTTTTAAAGCATTAGTATGTCCTCAGTGTTTAGACTTAAACAGATCCTGAGATGCTTTTACTCACTGTCAGGTGCCAGAAAGTATGGATGTTAATAGTACCCTCTGAGGACTACCAGGGGTCTGTGTGCCCTGTGCCACGTTACACTCCCGCAGTGCTGGGATCACAACCATTAGCCTGACTTCTTGCTGACGCAGGGCCACACCACGTTCATGTCTAATTCAAAACCACAACGAACCAACAGAAACTGGCTGCCAGGGTGGCTGCTACCCAAGACTCACATTACTCTAAAAGGGGATCTCTTTTGTTCAGTGTTATTCATCCAAGTCTCCACGGTTACAAGGTTTTGTAGGGAAGCAAAAGTCCTAACAGAAAAATGTTTTTGAATAGACTGACCACTTAGAAACATCTAGTCTTGTTCAACACCTCACCCACCATGTCAGTTGATTAATCTTTGATTGACAGGCTGATGAGCTTATTGTCCAAACTGTGAACTTTTTTCTTTTTTTTTAAATATTTTATTTATTCATTTGACACAGAGAGAGAGAGAGCACAAGCAAGGGTAGTGGCAGGCAGAGGGAGAGGGAGAAGCAGGCTTCCCCTTGGTTTCCTGGCCCCCCGGCAGGGAGCCTGATATGAGATGCAGGACTCGATCCCAGGACCCTGTGATCATGACCTGAGCCGAAGGCAGACGCTTAACTGACTGAGCCACCCAGGCGCCCCCAAACAGAACTTCCAAGAGAAAAGGGGTGTGCTATTAAAAATGAACGCTGGGACAACAAGCATGAATTGGGCTGTCCTTACTCAGCCCGTCACATATGCAAACCAACTGCAAAAGCAATCTTGCGAATGATGAGATTTTACTGAAAGTGCTGTTGGAGAACTGATCCCACAAAACCACTGGCAAATGGAGACCTGGCAGGATTATCACCTGAAGAGGGATGAAGGTTAAACTTCATCATAAACAAGATACTCCAAAGAGGATTAAGGGAGGACCCTGGGAAAGCTGATGAGGCCCTTGACTACCAAACCACACTGTGCGATCAAATCTGAAGTGAAGGACTCCATTCGCGCTGTCCAGGCTTTGAGCACCATCTGCGCAACTGAAGCCACACCTCTACTTATCTTGCTCAATTTTTCTTCATAGCCCTTTTATGCCCATTTATTTATCAGCTTTCTCTTTCATTAGAAAATAAGATCTGTGAGGACAGGAACCTTGCTGCTGACTACTGTGTCTCCAGGGCTTAAAGCAGTGACTGGCATGGAAGAGGCATTTATTAAACACGTGCTGAATAAAGGAATAGTGTAATTGGAAAAATAAGGACCCTCTCTCCAGCTTCCCCCAAAACTTAGTAAGACCAGATTGAGTTTTCTTTCTTCTAAGAATCAGCTCCTGGGTGGAACTGTAACTTAAATTTTGTTAACTGTAAAATTAAAATAAACATTTTTCATGCTTTTCAATTTCATTTTTTTTAATGCTTTTTTAAAAGATTTTATTTATTTATTTGACACAGAGAGAGCAAGCGAGACGAGAGACCAAGCACAAGCAGGGAGAACGGCAGGCAGAGGAGAAGCGACGTGGGGCTCGATCCCAGGACCCCGGGATCATGACCTGAGCCGAAAGCAGATGCTTAATCGACTGAGCCACCCAGGCGCCCCTGAATTTCATTTTTCAAGACAATATTTTGATCAGCCCTTTCTTTCATGATTTATTATAAAATAAACATTGAAACAGACATTGAAGTGTTTATGGCTTTTCTGACACGGACGATAATGGGGATTTCCTGTAGTAAGATATACTTATTGCAAAGAAGAAAATGTCATTACAGACAATAGGTATCACTCCCCACACTCCAGCAAACCTAGAATTTATGTCCCCTTACATAACCTGCTTCTGCCTTACTTTCAGTAATAAGTTTGATTAAAGTGTGCTTGCCCAGAAATAGGGAAAGGGTGGGGCACAATATATTGATTTTTTTCTAGCAAGGCTTTGACAGGCTACTTGACTTTATGTCATTGAATAATTTCGATTTTAAAAAAGCTAAATTTAAAAAGATATGGGTTGAATTCAGTTGATCTTGTATTTAACTTACTATTCCCCGTTTTGTTTTGTTTTTTTTTACAGTGTCCTATACTTACTCCTACAAAGTATGTGCAAAATTTCACTGCACTGAAAAACAGACTCTGTAGAACACAAGTGGCCATGATCCATGCCTCATTTACAGTATTAAGCCCACCAGGTCCATTATATTTTATTTTTATTTTTATACTACATTAAAAACTAATGATGCACTATCTGCTGGCTAACTGAACATAATAAAGAAAATATGTGAAGTGTTTGTATATTCACTATACATCAATAAAATGGCAAAAAAAAGAGAAAAAAACCCAATGCTAATACTTCACATACCAAAAAATAACAGTAATAATAATCAAATCAACCAGGATGTGGGGGAGTCCAAAATGGAACAAAAATAACAAGAAATGACTTTAACTCTTTTAGTAATAAACAACAAAGCCAGCCACACCAGAGGAGCGGGGAAGAAAAAAGCTGGTCTAAGTAACTTTGGAAAGCATGATTTCGATGACATATGGTAAGAATGAAGATAAAAAATGAATATGCACTCATATTTTTGTTAGTGAATTTGTTCCTCAGAAGATTATGGGTTAGCAATTCTAAAACTACTTAAGGTGCGGGGCACCTGGCTGGCGCAGCCGGAAGAGCGTGGGACTCTTGGCTCTGAGGTCATGAATTTTAGCCCCACATTGGGTGTAGAGTTTACTTAAAAATAAATAAATAAAAACTACTTTTAAAAAATGAAAAAATCGGGGCGCCTGGGTGGCTCAGTTGGTTAAGCGACTGCCTTCGGCTCAGGTCATGATCCCAGGGTCCTGGGATCGAGCTCCGCATCGGGCTCCCTGCTCAGCGGGGAGCCTGCTTCTCCCTCTCCCACTCCCCCCGCTTGTGTTCCCCCTCTCTCTGTCTCTCTCTGTCAATTAAATAAATAAAATCTTTAAAAAAAAAATGAAAAAATCAATAATACTTCTATTACAAAAGAGTATAATGCACATATCATTATAGAATAATCTAAAAGCAGGGATGAAAAAGAGGAAAGAAAATAAAAATGAACCTTAGGAAGCTTCTGAGAAATACTTATTAATATTTTAATATTTCATTGAAATCCTTTTCAGATTTTTTCAAAAATGTAATCGTATAGATTTGTATCTTCTATTTTTTTATTCAGAAAAAAATCATAGATATAATTTTATATCAAGACATACCTATGTCACAAATAACTCAATCTAACTTTGAATATTTAACTTACTCTGGGCTTTGTTTTCTTCTATTAAAATCATTGTTGCATTAAACATATCTTGAGCCAGAAAGAAAGAAAAAGAAAGAAAGAAAGAAAGAAAGAAAGAAAGAAAGAAAGA